CTAAAACAAGTGTTTTCACGCGAGTTAAATAAATCTGTCAACGGCGCTCGAGATCTATTGGCTTCGCCATTCAATTCTCTCTTCGAGCATCTCCTGAGTGGGCGCGAGCTTTGAATTCCAACCCTCTCTTTCGAGGATCGCCATCGATTTAGATCTGATTGATCAACGACGAAACACACATCGCTGTTAGCTATTAGCTGTTACCTACCAGAATGTCGATAGGCTGTGATATAAGATCCTGCAGTGTCCTGCTGGAGAGACCGATTATGGCGATTAAGTACAAGATAATGCTGCTTGCTGCTAAGTTAGCGCAACGTAATAGCTTGAGGGGTAGAGTGGCGAACAGTAGGTAGAGAAGCAGCAGCATCCACGCCAGACTGTCCATCGGCGTGACCTTGTTGGACTTGAGGAACAGCTGAGCGGACAAGTGCACGATCCATAGCTCCCCGACCACGCACGGCACCACCGACCAGAGCGAGTTACGCGCCTTGGTGCCGCTCTCTGCCCAAACCAGCAGGAAGAAGTTGAGGCTGAGGAACACGGCGCTGACGCAACGCGCCGGCAGCTCCATCCCCGGCGTCGACACTGTATAGAGGCCGTACAGGATCGCCGACATCAGGAAACACGTGAGGCCGCCGCGACGCTGTTGCAACGATGACGCGCGATACAGCTTCTCGAGGCGGGCGCTGCTAAAGCTTGTCTTCAGCAAGTTCGACGGCCTGCCACACCTCAGGTAAGAATCCTCGTTCGTCGGGGCCTGCTGCGACATGGCGCCGGTTTAAGCGCTCGTCGTCGACGTCGTCTTCAGCTTGTGAACGCGCACCACGGCACCGTCACATTACTTCTCTCGTCGCACTCTACCGCATCACCACGTCCGCCTCTACAGAAACGATTGACCGATCGCAGCTATCTTCTCTTCCTCCTCCTCGTGGATGCACATGGAGCCTCCGTGGTTTCCGGGATGACGCACTTTTCCGTAAACACACTCACACCCGGTGAAATCCCAGATGATATCCCCCTCGCCGCGAGACGAGAGTAGATAGGGGCGAGGGTAGCTCGTCTGGGCCCGCGACTCCAAGTCTGGAGCACCTGAACGGAACGCGATCAGCGTCCAGGATTCCCCCGAGCTGGCTGACGAACAGCTGTTACCCAGAAGATAACGCGGCACACGTACACTCGGACCGAACACTATTCTCGCACCACTCACGCAACGTACACGTACACATGCGCCCCAAGATGAACCAAACTCGAACCTTCTCTCTCGGGGATGCAACGCCTAGCACCCGCATGTGGAGTGCACTAGCTAGCCGGGTTGCTACTACCGGCGCGGGTTCCTACTACCTCTTCTGTACGACCTACCTACCTCCACGACCGTGTGTACGTATATACGTCGACACTCTTCCACCCTCGTCGCCACCCTCCGTGTCTCTCCATCTATTTATCTCTCTCTATTTCGCTACCCTACGCCGCTTTCCTTCTCGCACCTCGCTCCCGTCCACGTCCAGGCGTGCGCCTTGCGATCCTGGCTGCTACACGACCCTCCGACCTGGGTCGATATCAACTACCACAAACTCCAGCAGTTGATGCCAGGCCCTACCTGCGCCTCCTTTACGGTCCTACCTATGTATCCACCGACCTAACTACACCTCCGCACGCGCGGCCTCATCTTCCTGATTTCATCTCGAGTTCATCCCGGAGTGGCCGAGTTCTTATTTTAGGCAAGCACAATTGGCTCGCGCAAAATCCTTTGGGCATTATAAGCTTTATAACTCCTTCCTTAATTCAAAGAATCGTAACTAATCAAATCGTGAATGACTGAAACTACGTGATCGACGAGGTCAGTTTTATTAAAGTATATAAAAATTGATTTAGATACAAATTTGAAAAGATGTTAGACCACATTAAAATAATAATGCAGAACGCTCAAGTGTAACAATAACATTGACATTTTGTAGTAACCAGCTTGGACGTCCTACATATTTATTTTAATAGTTTAACATAATTAATTTCGGATTCGTATATCTGACGTAATTTTTATATATCTCAAGAAAACCATTTTTCCTGTCTTTTTATTCTTTCAATAAGCTCGTGGCAATGTTGAAGAATACATACTTGTACTTTTTTTGGACGTATATTGAATCTTGTTATTGAATCTTAATCAATGAGGTCTTATACAAGGAGAACGATTTTACCATCTCTAAAAATTTAGCTAAATATAAATCTGAAAATAATTTTGGTGTATTATCAAAATAATTATGTAGAACACTTAAGCTAGTTTCTAGAATATCAAAGTTTTCTACAGCATTGCTCATCATGAGCTTAAGTTTCAGTATAATTATTTCAATAAATCCAACAGAATTATTTTTAGATATATCTAGCTAATTTTTTAAATGCCTTAGCAAAATCGTTCTTTCCGTGTATAAATACTAAAAAAAAATATCACTTATATCAGGATGATTTGTTTGCTAACCATTAAGCGACGCAATTTAATAATCTTCATTAATCTAATTACGTTCCAATAATTTCCAGTTCTCAGTAATATATTATATTTTGTTTTACTGCCTGTCTTTCTTTTTATTGTGATTAATTCTTTGTGAACCCATAACTTTATTTGTGGCTACTTTCTTTTATATTTTAGAACTGTTCAATTTTTATGAAATTTGATTTATTTAAATCTATTAGGTAAAAAATAAATTCAAAATGGTGGAATAAGTTATGACCAATAAAATTTTTTAAAATATTAAATTGATAATTTTAAAACTCGGTTTTAGATCGTTTTTAAGTATAACATCAAGTTTCTAATTTCGTTTTATTTAAAGCTCATCGGTGCTACAAATAAAATTACGGTAAATAGTTAGTTATATATTGCTTTCCAAACTGACTTTCAAAGTCTAATTATGAGTCCTTTGATATTAGATTCTCGCTCATAGAGTTAATATATTTTTTAATTTAAACTATAAATTCGAACTCAGATATACCAATAATTTTCTAAAACCAAATTTTATGATAATATTTTATACAGATTATTTTTTTAATTTAAATTTTAAAATCAGTGTAATGTAAATCAGAACATTTGAAATTTTAATTTTGTATTTGAATTTGTCAATATAGTAATGGTAATATTGTGCACTGACATCGTGCTTGCTCTGTATTGATCTGTATTGTTTCTTATTTAAATTTTAATTCTTTGAACCTTCAGATACTTCGTTTAATTTTTAATTTTAGAATTGTGAAACCAAAATTGAATTCAGCAAAAGCTTTTAGAAAGCAAGATCTTCCATAAATTACTTTGATAGAAAGCTCCGATCTTCAAAGGGTTAAAAGCGTTTTGTTTTGCATAGCGACATGTTAAACTATTCCTAGCATGTTTTACCCATCAATTGTTTTGCAAAAGATTCTCTTATCAATTTATATCTTCATCAGTTTACTCTTCAACCACAAATATATA